GTGAGAAATTGGGAGGTGGTGGGTTAATTATCTAAGAAAAAAATTTATTGTGAGGATAATCTCAAAGTATTCCCAGATGTCAGATTTTCCACTTGCTGGCTCCATTTCTAAAGTCAAAAGGATTGGAGACGGCTTTTTATTTCTCTTTCTCACTGATTACGTTTTATGTTTTAATGTTTTTTAAATCTCTGTTTTTATTTTAATTATATAAAGCACTTTGAAATGCCTTGCTGCTGAAATGTGCTATACAAATAAAATTTGATTGATTTCAGACAATCAAGTTTATTTGTGTAGCATATTTCAGCAACAATGCAGTTCAGAGATTTGCATCATAAAATCACAAATATATATATATTATATACAACATAATCTACAATTGAGAAAACCAGTAACAAACATTACATTTTGATGAGTGCCATCATCAATACACATCAAACATGTCGGTCAATTTTCACTGAAGACAAATATTCTCCTCTGATGCGCGACCAAATGGACAACCCAGGAAGCTGTACGGTTCATCGCTTTCATTTTGAAATCCGACACGCAAAAATGAAGCAGTCACGTGACCCAGGTAATGCAGGCCTCTTTTGTTGCCAGTCACGTGGTTTTCAGCAAGGTGACGCAAGCGTCGAAGCGGGGCTTCATCGGACACGCCCCCTTTTTACTCGGTACGAGCCTCGAAGCCTGGATTCACATAGCCCATCACTAGCTATCAGTGATTAGCCTTAGCCTTTGCTTCACTGTGCTGCTTGCTCATTGTGGACTGTTTGAGCTAATAATTCATCATTAAATCACCATTCACCTTCATCTCCTGGGCTCAGCTGCATTCATTCTCACCGCCACACCCTCACTTCATGACATCACCTCTAAAGACTGTGTGTAATGGCAACATCTGATTCATGTAAGTATTGTCAGTTTTTGTTTTATTTCATAATTGTGAATATTTGTACTATATCCATTCACTCGTCCTGGATAAGCTTGTAGCAACAGTCATTACCTGTCGGTAACACAATAAAACCACTGGGATAAAGTTTGTTTTGGTCTGTGACCTGCAAAGATGGCACCGAGCGACTGCACCTAAACGCCCCACAACATCTGACGCAGTGACGTTGGTTCCAAAGCTCTATTGGCCAATAGTAGACGTAGAAGCTCTCCTTCATGAAACTCTCCTCATTAACATAACAATGCAGCAGGAAAAACGGCAAGAAAAAAAGGGAGAAGCGAAAAAAGCCAAAACAAAATATGTATTTTTCTTGACAAAAACCCATGTTTAAGGGAAATAAAAAATACTCTATATACATTACTTGACAGAAACTCGTGTAAGAAAAAGGAAGAACTAAATATGTATTTCTGCTTTAATTATGTCGGTTTTGGTCCTCCATAGTAGATTACCCATGTGGTTAATAACATACACTTCTATTGCTTTCCTTCTGTTTCAGATAACAGACATCTGTACCCTTGTTATTTCCTCTTGAATAAAGTATCTAAACTACATACTTGGAATTGGGCTTCTCCTTTTGACCAAGGCCTCTTCAGTTGACAATCTGAAATGTGTGCATGTTAGGGGCCACAGTGTCAGAGATTTAATACCAGAATACCTTTGATATTCTTTATTCTTTTATGAATGTTCACCAGGATGAAAAATTTAAATCAAAATCAACTAAAGGTAGCATAACTTAAGATTATTCAGATTTTTATAATATAACGTCATACTAATATAATTAAAGTAGAAAATAAGAGTTAATGATTGCTGTATAAAGTCTCATAAGAAGAAAACGCATGAAGCATCTTAATTAATGTAATCAATGTAGTTTACTAGATAATTCCATTCAGAAGCTCAGCTCTTCTCTACATAATAGGGAGAAATTTTGTTTCTCAACTAAATTGAGAAATGATTATGACAAAGAAGCTCCATAAAAAAAGCTGATGTCTGAGCAGTGAAGAAATGACAACAATGAACTCTCATCAACAATGACAGAGACTAAAAAACTGAAGCTAAAATACATATTTTAATCAACTGGACCTGATAACTGCTGACTATTCATGTTTAACAAACTCTGCAGAGGATCCATCAGAAAGTCTAATCCCAGCATACAGAGGTTGAGTGAATCTGGTCTGGACTCTGTGGAGGAGAGTCAATGTTTTAGAGACGCTGTAGAAAGACAGAATACCTGCTCTGTGGTCCAGGTACACTCCTATTCTGGAGGAAACTGGACCTGGTACTGGAGTTTCAACTCTGTCATGCCAGAATTTGTAACCATTTGTGTCACATCGCAGTGACCAAGATTGGTCATTGAATCCAAATAAACATCCATCTGATTTTCCTGCTCTGCTGATGTTCTTGCTTGAAACTGCGATATTAACTCCTCCTCCACAACCATCAGTCCCTCCTGCTTTCCACTCAACCTCCCAGTAACATTGTCCATTCAGAATCATTTCACTCAGCACTTGATAAAAAACAGTAAATCTATCTGGATGATCAGGATAAGACTGTTGTTGGTTTGTTAGTGTTACTTTTCTGTTCCCCTCAGATAATAACAGAAATATGCTTGCTGTGTTTGGATCCATAGTGATTTCTTGTAAACACCTTAATAACTCAGTTCTGGTCTCTGGTTCTGACAGTAAATCATCCACTTCATTGACCTTAAGTGAAATGATTCTCCATGTGTCTCTCAGGACGTCCTGTAGTTTGTCTCTGAGCTCTGACACAGCTGCCGTCACATCTGTAAAGTATCTCAGAGGACGGATCTTGATCCTGGATGAGTGTGTCGACTCCCTGAGTGCTGGCAGTGAGGGGTAGTTGAGGAGAAACTGGTTGTGATCCTCTGTGATTGAGAGCTGCTCCAGCTCAGCGTCTTTCCTCTTCAGCTCAGTGATCTCCTGCTCCAGCTTCTCCTGGAGACCTTTGACTCGACTCACTTCAGTTTCCTGCTGGGATCTGATCTGCTGCTTCACCTCAGAGCTTCTCTTCTGGAGGAGACGGATCAGCTCAGTGAAGATCTTCTCACTGTCCTCCACTGCTTTATCAGCAGAGACATTGATGGCCTCCACCTCCTGTTGAAACAAATTCACAATTTCCTCTCGGTCCTGGATTCTCTGATGGATTTGTTGTCGACTCTCCTGGAGCTCCTTCTGCTTCTCAGCCCTTTCTGTTGCTGCGGGGACTGTTTCATGGTCTTGATGTTCTTCCATATTGCAGAGGTAACAGATACACTGCTGATCAGTACGACAGAAGATCTTCATCACCTCATCATGACGAGAACAGAAATTCTCCTGGAGCTTCTTGGACGGATCCACCAGCTTGTGCTTTTTAAAATTGGGAGAATCATAGTGAGGTTGGAGGTGATCCTCACAATAAGAAACCAAACAGACCAGACAGGATTTGACAGCTTTCCTTTTCCTTCCAGTGCATGAATCACAGGCTGCATCTTGAGGTCCAGCGTAGCAGTTATCTTGATGATCTCTTCTTTGCTCCATTTCTGGTCTCGGTAACATCGACTGTGTGAGTTTCTCTTCTGTAGAACAGAAACCTGTTTCAGCTAAGGTGCAAATATCCGGTTACTAAAGGGAGTGTCTTTGTTTCCACCCATTATGACGCTTGTAAACCAGAGGAAGAGAGAACAAGGAAGAACTTTGAACTGACCGTTGCCTGTTAATCCAGTCCTGCTCATCTCAGGTTGACAAGCCCCATATTTTATTCCTTGTTAGAAACTATTCAAATATAGCTATAAAAGTCACACATGCAAATCCTGCAAATGAAGACAACATATTATGAATCAGAAGTTGTTATCATGTTATTATCCCTCATATAGAAACATCCACACTTACTGGCACCCCAAGTTAGAGTATGTAAAAAGCTTTAAAATAAGTTAATGTTTTATTTTAGAAGCATAATCTCACACTAACATTTACAATAATTCAATCTTTAAATTCAGTACATTTTTTAATCTAATCTTCAAAATGGGAAAGACAAAAAACATAATTAAAGAGAGACTGCAACTCGCAGCTGCCTAGTGCTCCAGCCATGTCTAAATCCAACATATCATTTAGTCTCCAGCTTATATGACCCTAGTGTTGTTTCACCAGCAAAGTGGTCCACAAACAGCCTCACCTGTTTAGTAAATCTGTTTGGTCAGGTTTTTTGATCAGTTTTTTTGGCTTTCTTTTTATTTTCAATTAAAGTGGCAGTGCATTAAAAGCTAGTTTTTGAGCATGTTTAAGGGGCATGGACAAATGGCAAACTTGGCGTACTCGCTAAGGCAAACAAAACACTGTCTTTCACACACAATGGCCTCGTAGCACCAAACTAGGTAGGAGTCATCTAGGTTTCATGTCTGACAAGCCTATGTCTTCATATTCTGACGTCGTATAAGCTCATAAAACATAAAAACAATACTGCTATCAGATGACAGACTCACCAGGCAACCAAGTCCGTAGATTCTAAGAATTGTATCAATTTGCCTCTCCTTGGGCTGCCAACTTAACGTGGTGGAGGGGTTTGAGTGTCCCAATGATCCTAGGAGCTATGCTGTCTGGGGCTTTATGCTCCTGGTAGGGTCACCCACGGCAGACAGGTCCTAGGTGAGGAACCAGATGAAGTGCAGCCGGAAGACCCCTGTGATGGAGATGAACATTGGACTTGGTTTTCCCTTGCCCGGACGCGGGTCACCGGGGCCCCACTCTGGAGCCAGGCCTGGAGGTGAGGCACGATGGCGAGTGCCTGGTGGCTGGGCTTTTACCCACCGAGCCCGGCCAGGCTCTGCCCGAAGAGGAGACGTGGGTCCCCCTTCCAACGGGCTCACCACCTGTAGGAGGGGCCAAAGGGGTCAGGTGCACTGTGTTATGGGTGGCAGCCGAGGGAGGGGACCCTAGCTGTCTGATCCTCGGCTGCAGAAGCTGGCTCTTGGGATGCGGAACGTCACCTCTCTGGTGGGGAAGGAACCGGAGCTAGTGTGCGAGGCTGAGAGGTTCCAGCAAGAAATAGTCAGCCTCACCTCAACGCATGGCTCTGGTTCTGGAACCAGTCTCCTTGAGAGGGGCTGGACGTACTTCCACTCTGGAGTTGCCCAAGGTGAGAGGCACCGGGCAGGAGTGGGCATACTTGTTGCCCCCCATCTTGGCACCGGTACGTTGGGCTTTACCCCGGTGAACGAGAGGGTAGCCTCCCTCCGCCTACGGGTGGGGGGATGGGTTCTGAATGTTGTCTGTGCTTACGGGCCGAACAGCAGTTCAGATTACCCACCCCTCTTGGAGTTCTTAGAGGGGGTACTGGAGAGTGCCCCTCCTGGGGACTCCCTTGTTCTGCTGGGGGACTTCAACGCTCACGTGGGCAATGACAGTGAGACCTGGAGGGGCGTGGTTGGGAGGAACGGCCCCCCCGATCTGAACTCGAGTGGTGTTCTGCTGTTGGACTTCTGTGCTCGTCACGGATTGTCCATCACAAACACAGTGTTCAGGCATAAGGGTGTCCATATGTGCACTTGGCACCAGGACACCCTAGGCCACAGTTCGATGATCGATTTTGTCATCGTTTCATCGGATCTGTGGTTGTATGTCTTGGACACTCGGGTGAAGAGGGGTGCGGAGCTGTCCACTGACCACTACCTGGTGGTGAGTTTGCTCCGGTGGTGGGGGAGGAAGCCGGTCAGACCTGGCAGGCCCAAACGTGTAGTGAGGGTCTGCTGGGAACGTCTGGCAGAGTCTCCTGTGAGACGGAGCTTTAACTCCCATCTCCGGCAGAACTTCGAACACGTTCTGGGGGAGGTGGGGGACATTGAGTCTGAGTGGACCATGTTCCGTGCCTCCATTGCCGAGGCAGCTTATCGGAGTTGTGGCCGCAAGGTTGTTGGTGCCTGTCGCGGTGGCAACCCTCGAACCCGTTGGTGGACACCTTCGGTGAGGGATGCTGACAAGCTGAAGAAGGAGTCCTATCGGGCCTTTTTGGCCTGTGGGACTCCAGAAGCAGCTGATGGGCACTGGCGGGGGAAGCAGCATGCAGCTCGGGTGGTCGCTGAGGCAAAAACTCGGGCGTGGAAGGAGTTTGGAGAGGCCATGGAGAAAGACTTCCTACGGCTTCGAGGCAATTCTGGTCCACCATCCGGCGTCTCAGGAGGGGGAAGCATTGCAGCACCAACACTGTTTATGGTGGGGATGGTGTGCTGCTGACCTCAACTCGGGACATTGTGGGCCGGTGGGTGGAATACTTTGAAGACCTCCTCAATCCCACCAACATGCCTTCTGTTGAGGAAGGAAGCTGAGCCTGGGGACTTTGGGTTGGGCTCTCCAATCTCTGGGGACGAGGTCGCCGAGGTGGTCAAAAAGTTCCTCGGTGGCAGGTCCCCTGGGGTGGATGAGATCCGCCCGGAGTTCCTTAAGGCTCTGGATGTTATAGGGTTGTATTGGCTCACGCGACTCTGCAATATTGCATGGACATCGGGGGCAGTTCCCCTGGATTGGCAGACTGGGGTGGTGGTCCCCCTGTTCAAAAAGGGGGACCGGAGGGTGTGCTCCAATTACAGGGGGGTCACACTCTTAAGCCTCCCTGGTAAGGTCTATTCAGGGGTCCTGGAGAGGAGGGTCCGTCGGATAGTCGAACCTCAAATTCAGGAAGAGCAGTGTGGTTTTCGTCCTGGTCATGGAACACTGGACCAGCTCTACACCCTCAGCAGGGTCCTGGAGGGTTCTGGGAGTTCGCCCAACCAGTCTACATGTGTTTTGTGGACTTGGAGAAGGCATTCGACTGTGTCCCTAGGGGGGCTGTGTGGGGGGTTCTCCGGGAGTATGGGGTACCGGGCCCTTTGATATGGGCTGTCAGGTCCCTGTATGACCGGTGTGAGAGCCTGATCTGCATTGCCGGCAGTAAGTCGGGCTCGTTTCCGGTGAGAGTTGGACTCCGCCAAGGCTGCCCTTTGTCACCAATTCTGTTCATTACTTTCATGGACAGAATCTCTGACCAGCCGAGGTGTTGAGGGGATCCGTTTTGGTGGCCTTAGGATCGCATCTCTGCTTTTTGCGGATGATGTGGTCCTGTTGGCTTCATCAGAACGTGATCTGCAGCTCTCGCTGAAGCGGTTCGCGGCCGAGTGTGAAGCGGCTGGGATGAGGCTCAGTGCCTCCAAATCCGAGGCCATGGTCTTGAGCCGGAAAAGGGTAGAGTGCCTTCTCCGGGTCAGGGGGGTCGTCCTGACTCAAGTGGAGTAGTTTAAGTATCTGGGGATCTTGTTCACGAATGG